ATGTGTTTCTTCAGAGACACACAGTTGGTAGCTTTTGTCTTCAGTAGAAGAACAAAGGGAGTTTTGTTGCATTGTAAAGAACTCCATTACAGTGGGGCCTTGACTTACAAGTGTCCCGACTAACGAGTTTTTTGAGATACCAGCTGTCTCTCGGCTGATTTTTTGCATTGAGTTGACAGAGTAATTTGAGTTAACGAGCTTGGTCTCGGAACCAATTAAACTCGTAAGTCAAGGCCCCACTGTATCTCTTCCCTGTCAGTGAAAAGGTGGTGCAGGAAGGTTCCTGTGCTTCCAGCAGAGACAGGTGCTTGTGAGATTGTTCATTTTTCCTGCGAGGCCTGGGCTTGTTTTGTCTTTCCTCTTCCGAGTTAAATTTTTATTTATTTTTATTGATTTGAGAGAGAGAGAGAGAAACATTGATTTGTTGTTAGACTTATTTTTGCATTCATGAATTGATTCTTGTATGTGGCCTGACTGAGGATCAAACCCTCAACCTTGACATATCGGGGCAGCGCTCTTGCCAACTGAGCTACCCGGCCAGGGCCTCCAAGGTGATTTTTGGATGGAAAGAAATTAATCCTCCTACCTTTAGGGAGGGTTCTGAAAAATCAGACCAGATCCTATAGCTACGACCACTGTACGAACCAGTCACAGTCGCTCAGGACTGAGAACAGATAATTTGATTTAAAAAATTGCTCCCAAGAGCCACCAATAGAGCTTTCATCTGTGATTGCATTCAACTGCTGGTTTTTTTCTCACATGTTAACGCTTAAGTAATTGTTGAAATAGCAGTTTTCTGCATATCGAGTTCAGGGCTAGCAAAAGATGGTGGGAGCTCTTCCTGCAAAGACTGGGTACACTTTCCATCCTGTAGCAAAGGTGCGATTGGACCTGGAGCAGTGGCACAGTCGGCTCTCTTGTGTGCCGGCCTGGTGAGCACTGGGCTCGGGTGCTTCTGTGAGAAGCTGAGCTCTCTCTCCTTAGAGTAACTCCTTCGAGCCACTTGTGGCAGCAGAGCCACCGATCCCGCGCACATATACTCGGGCTTGGAAACTCGCAGGACTTGCCCACACGGTCTGCAGCTGGGGCCGGGGTGGCGGGTGGGTGGAGAGGGCGCACACTCCAGGTAAGAAAAAGACCTACTTCTGACTAGTTACAACAGGGGTCCTCAAACTACGGCCCGCGGGCCACATGCTAATACAAGTATTGTATTTGTTCCTGTTTTGTTTTTTTACTTCAAAGTAAGATATGTGCAGTGTGCATAGGAATTTGTTCATAGTTTTTTTTAAACTATAGTCCAGGCCTCCAACGGTCTGAGGGACAGTGAACTGGCCTGGCCCCTGTTTAAAAAGTTTGAGGACCCCTGAGTTAGAACTTGTTTGAGGATTGCAGGAAGAAAATAAGTGTTAAGTTTACTGCTTTGACTTTTATGTTAAAGACCCATATTTCATTTAAAGATTTATTCTCCAATCTGAAAAATGTCAATGACTTTGGTTAGGGTCCGGACAGCTATACTGTGATAGAAAAGAACTGATATTATTTACTGACTGGAGTTTGCTTCAAGGGTGAATGTGATTTCCCCAGTCATGCCTTTCCCTTGAGCGCTGGCTTTATGTTTTTCAGTTCTCCAGTGTCACACTCCACAGCCAAAACCCCTCACCCAGTGCTGACCCCCGGGGCTGCGAATAACCAAGCCAAGCCGGTAAGTCGCTGGTTTTCCTTGTTAACAGCCACGCAGGGTAACTGAGGCAGTCCTGTTTGGAGTCCTCACTTTGTTTTACCTGAACCATAAGTCCTTGCCCCACAGTTTATCCGGTCTTGATGTAGCAGGCTGGTTAGGACCCGACATGATCTCATAGGCCACTTGCCCGTCTGCATCTAGCAATCGTGGGTCATAGTTTAATGCTTTACATTTATATGGAGTATTTGGATTTGCAGTTACTTTCATTTAACATTACCTTAGTTAACACACACAACGGCCATGCAGTAGACAGGAGCGGGGTTTAGATATGCTTCACTGACGGAGAGGCCGGCTCATGTGAACCAGAGCTGGGACCCAAGCCTTTCCACTTCTTCCCGTCATGCTTTTCTCGTTATACCTCTCAGGATTCGTGTCCGCGGGAGAGGTTCTCTTGCTTTCTCCTGCATGCTGGCTTTCAGAGCTCGCCTATTCTGTGGTATTTGTTATGTCTACTTCCAGGCTTTTGCCTGGTAAACATTGTCTCTTACAAAAATAGGTTATGTTGTCAGCAGTTAAATAATAGAAGATGGCTGAAAGGTAGGTCAAGCTGTGGCGGCAGCTTTCCCTGAGAAGCTGGGTGCTCCGCCACTCATCTCTCCGAGGCGGTGGTATTAGGTTGTGTTAGAGATTGAACACCAGAACTTGCCGATTGTGAGTTCTCAGGCATGGCTCTCTGTTCCTTCTCTGCTGTGACTTAATGACATTTAAGCGTTTAGCATTTGATCCCTCTTCTGGAAGTTTCCACGTTCACCTTGGAGGACACAGGGCAAGGCATCAATCGTAACAAACAAGAGTAAAGAAATGTTGCCTAGAGGTGGATACCAGTCAAACAGTTTTGCTTTTTCACTTCATTATAAATTTTTTGAGAACCAGAACTCATTTAATTCATTTACTGCTTCTCTCACTCGTCTACCAAATATTCCAGTGTCTTTTATGTGCCAGGCACTGTGCTGGGCATGGAGAAGATAGCCACAAGATAGACGGGCATGGCCCTGCTTTCTTATCACTTAAGAATGAATATTCCATCCTCTGATACGATCTTACATGTGGCAGACACTTAAAAATGTTGACTTACCTTGAAACTAAAAAAAAAATGTTAAACTAAATAAATGGGTTTATGCTTGTTTATTTAAACTATGTTATCATTTTACATGTTCCTTTATCCCAAAGGATGGTCAGCAGTTTCACGCGTACGTTTGGCTTGTGTTCTCTTGTAGGGATCGCTGATAAACTCCCTAAAGCTGCCTGGGCCCACATCAGCCTCCGGTCAGTTGTCATCCGGTGATAAAGCTTCAGGTCAGTTTGCATTTTTGTTTTAGTTAAAATAAAGGTGAAAGAACTGCTCCAGCACAGGTCACTGTTCTAGATCACAAAGGCAGTCAGCACAGGAGGCCAAGTGCAGAGACACTCGAAAGGCCTTGGCTGGTGAAGGATCTCCAGGACATTAGCGGGCCTTCCACAGCTCTGCTCACGTCTGCAATTGGAGAGCAATAGGCGAAACTTTCCTGTAAAAGTTTTTCCTAAAAAGGAGCTGTAGCCTTGTCTTCACCTGCTTGTGGATGGTCAGCTCAGAGAGGAGTGGATCGGAACATTGGACTCCGTTTCTTCAAAAAGGAATTAAAAACTTAGTTCACAAAGACAGTTCAACAGCCAGTTAAATAAAAGTAAAATGATCTCTTACAATGCGAGAGTTAAAAGTAGATGTAATGTCAATATTAAAAGATGTTTTGACTTCATGTACTTTCAATACTCAAGCATAATTATTTATTAAAATTAGTTTTACCGTAAGTCTTGGACCAGGCATCCGCTTGCCCAAGTGAGGCAGGCGTGTGCTTTGTGTATACTGACCTTTAATACGGGATCTGCCTCAGCCCCCCTTTTGTTGGCTGCTTTTCTGTCACCCACTTACTGTGGCCTGTGTGACTTCTGTTCCAGTGGGCCCTCAGGCTGATTCTGGTAGAGATGCTGAGCCTCACACGCCAGCAGACTGCTTTCCAGTCCCCTCAGTCATACACCCACCTGACACTCTCTGTCATCATGCTTTCTGTTGGGTATTGGGTTTATCTTCACTAAATGTTCCTTACACTCAGCAGAAAAACCATTGTTGTGTTACCAAAGTTGTATTCTAGAATGTGGATTAAGGCAGGCCACAGTTGTTATAGTCTGCCTCACACGAGAGGAAGGTATGCAGCACTTCTTGACCAGGATCTAAAGCCTTACGTTAGAGGAGAATTTTAGTAGAATTGTCAACGGCTTTTGAATCAAATTAAGAACTTTCTATTTCTGTCTAATATCTTAGAAAAATATTTTGTAAGATCATTTATCCTAACTTCTTTCAAGAACTTCATGGAGAGTTTTTTTACTCCTCAAGTGAAGAGTGAAGGGACTCTAAGAGCCCTTGCTTCGTGCAAGTCTTACGCAGTTAGCATGACGCAAAGGGGCTTTGGAGAGGGATCACTGAGTGGTGACTGTGAGATACTCTTTCATTGCTAGGTGTTTGATTCTGCATCCACTTGCTGGATAATCAAAAGAATAGGACTTGGGGGGAAGGGGGGTTCCCTAAAAACTATTATTTAAGAATTTGCCAAAAATTTCCTTTAAAAAAAAGCATATTTGAAACTTCAGTAGAATAGTTCTCTTCCTATATAGTAAAAGGCTAATATGCAAATCAACCAAATGGCAGAACAACTGGTCGCTATGACGTGCACTGACCACGAGGAGACAGGTGTTCAACACAGGGAGTGCCGCTCAGCCAAAAGCTGGGCTCACAGCTGGCAAGCGCAGCGGCAATGGCGGGAGCCTCTCCTGACTCTGTGGCAGCACTAAGGATGTCCAACTGCTGGCTTTCAGTCGGATATCCCCCGAGGGCTCCCAGACTTTGAGATGGCACAGGCCGAGCTGAGGGACACGCTCCCCGCCCCCCACCCCCCGCCCCAAGTGTACAAATTTGGTGCACCGGGCCTCTAATATTAATTAATAAAGAGATACCTTTATTGTTTTTCTGATTATAAACCTATTTCAGATCTACTAGAGTCTAGTCTATTGGAGATAAATAGTGTGGCAAGTGAGAGCTGCCTGCTAAGTTCCACATTCCAGAGATGATAACCCTCAATGATTTGATATGTATCTCCTGAGGTTACTTCATTGTTGGTGTTTTAAACAAAATTAGGCCCACCTTGTCTATAGTCATTGGTGGCCGTTTCTCCCCCTTCACGCCCCTCCCTCGCACCGTAAGCATCCTGGTCATGTTTGCAGAGCTGCCGCAGCTCTCCCTCCGGCATGATCACCAGCTCTGCTGGGAGTTAGGTTCTTCCTGAAGTTTCTGATGATAAGCAGCACTGCATTGAGTGTCCGTGTCCGTGTCCACAGCACATTGTTTTATATTGATAAAAAATCATTTCGCTGGTAGTTACCCCATACTCACTTAGAAAGTATTACATTTTTATTGTTTGGTTTGGTTTGGGTTTTTTAAAATGTGGTTTTCTCCTTCCCTTCCCCCTTTGAAAGTAGAGTAATTGGGAAAGACTGAAGATAATACCCCAACTGTTAACAAGTAGTTGCAGTGAGAGTGAATGTGAGGAGGGTGACGGATTGCATTAACTTCCTGCGCTTCCCTGTATTACAGCCATCTTATTACCGCCATCATTTAAAAAAAGGAAGCTATGATTTGTTAAATGCAAAAATACTACTATGGAAAATACAGAAATGGAGGGAGAAAACAAGTAACATGAAGTCACTCCTCAGAGACATTTAGTTACTCTAACCCATTTCCTTTGGATTTCTTCCCTTCAGTATACATTACTTTTCAGTAATTAGCAAGCTCCTTTTAAAGCTTTACATTTTAACTGCACTAGAATTATTGTGATCTCTTTCCTAGGAAGGAGATTGTGGCGGTCTTGGTTTGGAATTAACGTTGACAGAGCCAAGAGGTCTGAGACCTTGAGTGTGACTTAGGTCCAGGGGCCCCCTTGGTTGTATGGGGTGCATGTTGGGCCTGCAGGCCTGGGGCCCGCTCTGGTGCACCACACAGCCGGTGCTGCAAGAATTACAAACTGGAACCATGTTTCTAACTGGCTTTTGTAACGTTCTTACTTTTTTTTCCTGATTTCAGGGCCAGGGGCAACCAAGATAGAAACCGCTGTGACTTCTACCCCATCTTCTGTCGGGCAGTTCAGCAAGCCTTTCTCATTTTCTTCATCAGGGTCAGTAATAAACTTACATCTTGTGGGAAGTCACTTACTAGATAGCTTCCCCAAATCTTACAACAGTAAGATGCCTATCAATGTCCATGAGCCCAGACTCTTATCACTGCAGTAATACAGCTGATGATATTAGCTTGATGTCCTGATAGGAATCTATTTCCCCTTTTCAATTCAAGTCTGTACATGTGTTATTACATGAAGAGCCTCATTTTATTTGGGTCTGTGCCAAATTCCATGGTTGGCCTAGTCCCGTGGTCGGCAAACTGCGACTCGTGAGCCACATGCAGCTCTTTGGCCCCTTGAGTGTGGCTCTTCCTAAGCCTTAAGAGTACCCTAATCCTATCTAATAATAGACAAACATGGTAATTAACCGTACCTCTGACACACTTCCCATTGGCTAATCAGGGCGATATGCAAATTAACTGCCAA